CCCGGGGAGCTCTCTGGGTGACCAGCAGGTGTCAGTGTGGATTCAGTGGCTGTGACCAATTCTGTTAAAATACAGGCCTGGAGTTGGGGTGCAGCACGTCAAGCTGCAGCCCATGATGCTGTTACCCCAGAGGGGCACTGGTTTGTATCCCAGCTGCTCCACTTCTGATTCAGCTCCCTACTAATGAGTGAGGAAGGTCAGCAGAAGATGGCCCTTGTCCCTGCCATTCTTGGGGAGACCTGGATGGAGCTCCAGGGTCCTGGATTCAGCCTGGTTCAGCCCCCACCACTGTGGTCATCTGGGGAGTGAAGCAGCAGATGGAAGATCTTTCTTCCTTGGTATCTCTCTGTGAGTCTGGCTTCTAATTAAATAAGCAAATATTAAAAAATAATGTGTATGCATATAAAGATTTCTGTAACAGTTTTCCCTTTATGGTTCAATCTTGACTTGTTAGATCGCTGATGACAGCCAGTTTGCTCCAGTTGAGTCTCCTCCTTGGAGTGGGCATGAGCCAGGTATGTGGGACTATCAAATGGTCATTTACAATTTAGGGCAAAGGGGCCAAGCAGCATGCTGGAGAGTGGGAGGGGACAGGGAGTGAGTGACAGGGAGGGTTGGGGAGGGGAGGGCCTGCTCCTGCCCACTAGGAGCCTGGGTAGAACCCTGAGACCTGCACTTGGTGGTCACTGTTCCCCAGAGGCTGGGACAACCCTCAGAGGAGAGAGCCCAGAGACGAAAGGAGGGTGAGGAAAACCCCGAAGCCCCGCCAAAGAGGGTACAGTGGGCTCTCCTCCTGGCCACTGGGACAGCCAGGGACACTCCCAAGGGAACCGAGGAGCTTCGTGAATGGTCAGCCCTGCTGTGCCCACAGGGTCACTGTGTCCCCTGTGGCATGTGCGGGAGCAGGGCTCAGGCAGGTCAAGGCCAGCAGTGCTGGAGAAAGGGCAAATGGCCTGAGTCTGCTTGCTTTTACAGAGTCACTGCAGGCAGCCCGCGTCAGACGGCCTCATCCCTGCGGTGTCTTCCTTCCTGTGGCTCGGCCATATCCTCTCCCTCTCCGCTGGCCTCCACGCTTAGCATGATCACATACTCATTGAGCTGGGTGGGACTCCCGGAGGAGCCCACTTAGCACTTACAGCTTGATGATGGGAATGGGGAGGACTTCCTTTTATGGCAGGTGCCTAACAGGATGATGACTGAACCTCAGGGATGAGCCTTGGCTGCTCTGTGTGTGTGTGTGTGTGTGTGTGTGTGTGTGTGTGTGTGTGTGTGTGTGTGAAGAAGCCTGCATAGATGAGGGCTCATTATACAAGCACCCATGCATGCATGTAATCTCGCGATCTCTCTCACGCACACAGCAAAGGAGCAACCTTCTCAAATGTACCACAAGTGCTTCCCTCCTGCTCAGAAACTGCAATGAGGTGTACGGCATGCAGGCTTGTCCTCACCTGGTTAACAGATACAAAAGACAGGTGTTTATGGGCAGCGGGTAGGGCAGGAGAGTAAGCGGTAGCATACACAGGTTCCTACGGGGCAAAGCAAGAGGATTGAGATGAGAAGGCTGATCGGGCTGGGAAGGGCTGGGCCTGGCTGAGGGGGAGGGCGTGGGACACTGAGTCAAGGAACCTCTCTCGGGCGGTGCGAATCAGTTCATTGCAATTTCGGCTCCATTTCTAAAAGGAGTCCTTGCTAGAAGGCCTAGGCTGACATGGACCCACACGAGCACAGGCTGTTATGAGGGGGCCTACAAATGTCTAGCAGGTTCCTAGTCACTTCCACTGGCTTCTTTAACATGGATCATGAAGTACTCTCGGAAGTACTCTCGGAAGTACTTTACTGTTTCAGAAATGACTGACAGACACGGAGTCAGCTCTCTGGCCTGGATCCAGGCTTGTGTGGTGCAGGGACTAAGACACCATCAGGGTTAGGGGTGCAGGGCCTCACACAGGGGAAGGTCTCACTCCAGGACTACTAGGTCAGTGTCAGGCTTACCCAAAGCAGATTAGAAATGGCATTATCATCGGTCACTTCCCCTTCTTCCTACAGGTTAAAACAAATGGGAGACATTGCCAAGTCTTGGAGGAATCTAGTTGAGGGTTCACAGTGCTGTGCAGGCATGGGGTGCCAGGGTTCAGTGGGAAGCATGCGCATGCTCACACAGCTGAGTGGCCTAAGCCTGAGGGCCAGATGATCTCCTCCACCCAGAGGGTCAAACCATCTGCCATTCTCTGCCTCCCGACCTCACGCCATAGCGGATGTGAAGATCCGGCCTCTCAGTGTCTGCGGGTGATTGGGGTGTCCATCCATTGACCTTCCCTCACCTCCTGGGGGACTCTGTCCTGGGGAGGTCACTGACCTTGCAAAGCCAGACAACCATAGCAGGTGTCCAGGACTCAGACCCAGAGCAGGTTTCTGCCCTCACTTCTACCACGTTCTTATGTGCTGCCCACAAGCTGATACATTGGGTGCTGTAGGGGATAGTCCTGCCCAGGCCTGAGTGTCCACCAGGCTGCAATGGAAGGTAAGGATTGGATGATGATTCTAGTCCCAGCCAGGAGACTCTGGCTCCACTCTGAATGTACAGCTTTGCATCACAGTATTTCTGAGGCTGTGAGTCATGCCCAAGTGCTCACACTCTACACAGTGTGGCCCAGGCCACATCCACCCCGGGTGGCTTAGACCATGCTTAGCACTCCCTGCTTCCTGGGCTGCATAAGGCCAAAAGTCAGGCTACCATGGACCGAGAAAAAGGATGGCGGATGGGGGCGGGGATGAGAATGGAAGAGCCCGGATGATTTTCTTTGGCAGATAACAGGACCCCTTCCATGACTAGTGCTCAGAAGCTAAACTAGCAGTCCTAATTTGGGGGTGGCATGCAGACATGGGAAGCAAGGAGCTACTCCCAGGTTTCCTATTCCTGGGGACACATTCTGCCCTCAGCACAGAGGGGAAGACACTCACTCCTTCACCCCAAATCTATTCCTGGACCTGAAAGCCTATCTCTTTGCAGCAGAGGAGATGTGGCTTGGAGGACTTGACATCTGCTTCCTCCAACACAAATCCTTGTCAGAAATAGAACTGCTGTAGACTTTTCAGGCATCTTCTGACCTTTTTTTTTTAAGTGTGGCTATTAGAGAACTGATCATTTTCACAGATCACGCTATTATTATTGTTATTTAAACTGGCCAGTGCGTGCAACATCATAAGAACAAGGGGCATACTGTGGCAGTCCCCCTCTCCCCCTTTCTTGCCTCGTCTGCGTTTCAGGTTCATATGTTCCTTCTGTGTCATGAGTCATGAGACCCTGCACACCAAAGCAGGGCAACCAGAAGATGTTCAGTCCCCAGGAATGTGACTAAAGGACCCTGATGAACTTTCTCACCTTTGGTGGCCAATAAGGAGGGTTCTGGAACCCGTTATCCCTTGCACACTGGCCCCAGGTGCATTCAAGTCTCACTAATGCCCTTGGCTCTCTTGCCAGCTGCCCTAGGGCACCCAGCAAGCAGGCAGTACTGAGTTCTGAAGCCATCTGTGCCCACAGTGGGTGTGGTCTCTAGACAGAGCCTCCTCCCTCTGAGCCCCCACACCACAAGCCCTTGGGAAGACACTGACCATGAGGTCATCAGAGGTCATGCGCAAAGCATTTGACCTCAGTAGAACTCGAGATTTCCCAACCCAAGGCTGCAAAGGCCTAAAAATAGATGGGCTCATTTGAACTTCAAAGAGCTCATTGTCTGGGGGCCAGAGGGAAGTAGGCCACTGCTCAGGAAGGAGTAGGCACTGTGAGCTCACAGTTGGCATCACCAGCAGCCCAGAGGTGCTCAGTGGCTTTTCTGGGTCCCCTGGGCCCCACCCCCAGGGCACCTGCAAGGCCCAGAACCTCCCTTACCCTCCCTGCAAACACCTTCGCCAGAGGCACACTCTTCTTCCATGCCTACAGGAGGCATCCCTCTTCACTGGAGATCTGCCTCATGGTGTGCTATAAGCTTCCCATACACCTGCTACACAGCATCCTGGCAGCTCTGGAAGGGCTGGGCACCAACTGCACCTTATCAGATGACCAGAGAGACACCTGGCACTCTGGCGGCCCTGACATGCCTGTTGAGTGACATCTTGCTAACGGGGTTACGTGTTTGTTTTTGAACCAGGAGTTTCCAGATCCTTCTGGATGCATGGGCTTTCAAAAGTTCATGGTAAAATGGATTGAAGAAAGAAGTTTACTGGGCATAAGAAGTTTGCAGTTCACCTATTTTTAAAATATGTATGCATTTTTCCATGAACTTTTTAAAGACCTGCAGTTGCCTTAAAGAATTCAAACTGTTGTTCCATCATAACCTGGGTAGACACAGGAGTATCACAGACAGTGGCTGAACTCCTGTTCTTTGTGTACATTTTTTTTGCGCTGGCAGGGGGCCATCTCTTCTGTGCATGCGCAACCTATTTTTGAGCTTAACAGGCTCCAAATGACTACCAAGTTGAACCCGCCTGAGGGCACGCCAGACCAGCATCGCTCCGTCGTTTGGGGTCAGCCTGCACATGAATTTTCAAAGTGTGTCGCTGCTATAGCTGTGACTGAACAATGGCGCAACCCTTCGGAGTACCATTGGCCTGCTGCAGCATCAAACACCCCACATTGCTTCACCTGTTTTAAAAACTGATGGCTGTCCATTCTCCACCCCCCCGCCCCAGGTCCTTGGTTTGTATCTTTCAGAATAAGATCTCTGGAGAGGAGAGTCAAGACTGTGGTGCAACTTGCAAGCTTTTGTGGTGCATTGAAAAAAAAAAATCACACAATTTTAAACGATACTGCTACGTGCAGTGCTGTTGGTGTTTGGGCAACATCTCAACACTCGACCTTCCGGCCCATTGCAGCAGCGTTGTGACAGTTGTGCTCCCCCACAAGCCTCATGGGATGAGACCCAGCAAGGCTGCTCATGCTGTGCAGGCCGCCTGCCGAGTGCAATGCAGACAGATACCTTCTCCCGGCCTCGGGACCTTACCCTCTTGTGTAGTAGCAGCTCTGAGTCCGGCAGGTGCATGCTGGCCCCAGCCAAGGTCTGCCCAAACTCCTGCTTCCTGCTCAGTCTGTTCTTCCAGTCTTCCTCCCCACTCTTCTTCAACAGCGCCAACCTGCAATAGAAGATGGCACCCCTATTGCTCGGCAACGAACTCTTGGAACTGACGTTGGGGACAGCCTTTCCTCAGAGGGTCCCCACATTTTAGAGACGGTTGAAACATGAGATGGCGGGAAGGGGATGTGACTTAAGGCTGAGAGCAAAAGACAAAAATAATGCTCAGAGGACCACGACCTCCATCGACCCCTTCTGGTCACTTGGTGAAACTACATTAGAGTCCCACAGCTGTGTAGATAGTTGATCGAAAAAACTGGAGCAAGGAATTCAAAATATCATACAGCTACGAAACCCTGACAATTGTTCAAACCTGCACTTCTTAATTAAAGGAAAATAGGATGTTTAGGATGCTCTTACCTTCTAAGGCACTGTTTACTTGCAAATCCATCTTTATGCTATGAAAACTTTTATTTAATTATTGCTTCAACTTTCTCCAGGGCAAAGAAGTACACACAAAAAGGATCCAACTAACCGACAACGGTCTCCTAACCTACTTCAGGCTCATGGTGGTGCGACTTGAGGGTGCCACTTGGGGCGAGGTGCTGCTGTTGTTTCAACTGTGTGTCTGGGTCATCTCACCGCGCTCTAAGGAACAGGGAAGACTTGGGTGTTTTATCACACACACGTTGGGGAGACCGGAGGCAACAGAGCTGCGATGGCTAAGCTGGAGCTCATGTGGTGGCGATGTGAAGACTGGCTAGCCAGTACTCGGCCCCAGGGCTCTCTGTGAGGCTCCTGCACGCTTCCCTCCTGACCCACTGCCGGTCCCGGTAGCCTGTTTGTTCTGCCCTGGGTGGCTGCTCCCTCCAAGTAGCTTCGTTCTCTTCAACACAGCAGGCTCCCAAAGGTTCTACACTATTTCCCAAGACTGCTCAGTCGCTGAGGTGGGGATGTGCTGAGGTGTGTTCTATGATACAAGTTGGTCAAGTGGATGAGAAAACGAAAGTTTGCAGTTCTCACACAAGGGCATGCTAAGGTCTGCGTGTTGCACACGCATCTGTTGCTGCAGGCACCAGGGAGGGCAAGGCCTCTTCTTCCCAGTGTCGGGGGGGCTAGAGGAAAGAGGCAGGATTTGGGGGTGCTGGGTCTGTGGCCACCCCCCAGCCTTTTCCTTTGCTTCCCTTCCTTTCGCTTCTCTTCCTTCTTGCTCTGTGGCAACAGAGATTTGAAACGCCCCGGGGTAAAACTCATTCACTTGGGCACCTGCACCATGGCATTGTGAGTTAAGCCTCTGCCTGCAGAGCTAGCATCCCATTAGGATGCCACTTCGAGTCCTATCTGCTCCACTTCTGATCCAGTGCCCTGCTAATGGCTAGAGAAGCAGCAGAAGATGGTCCAAGGCCTTGGACACCTGCACCCTCGTGGGAGCCTCAGAAGAAGCTCCATGCTCCTGGCTTTAGATCTGGCTAGTGCTGGTTATAGCAGCCATTTAGGAAGATAGAAGCACCTAGAAGATCTTCCTTTTTCCATTTCTCCCTGTAGCTGTCTTTCAAATTAAAATAAATTTTTATGAAAAAGAACAACACACACTCTGCCTCCCACCTCTGAGGAACATCCCACTCGGATTACATTCCATCCTGATTCTAAATTCTATGTCTCTGCGTGCTGCCAGGGCTAGCGTATGTCCTTAAGCATGGACCTCCAAATCTCTCTCTCTGTGTCCAGCTCAGCACGCACATCAAAACTAAGAGACATCAAAAACTAAGACGTAGCCATCCCTTTTCTAATTCTTTGAGATGAAACGGGAAAAAGAATCTCATGAGATCAAATCATTAAAAGAAATACTTGTTGCAGGCTTGGTGTCTTGGAGCAAAAGGTTGCAAAGCCTCGACGCCTGAGACATTCAAAGAGTACCTGCAGGCCGGGACTTCGATCCCATGGGTGAGACCTTTCAACTCCCACCTGCTAGGCAGAGGCACCAGGTCATGTGGCCCTCTCTTACTTCCTCCAGGTAAGTACAAGTTATTATTGTTAAGTTATTTTTTAAGATTGATTTATTTATTTGAAGAGCAAAGTGACACACAGAGAGAAACAGAGAAAGAGACAGCACAAGCTTCTATCTGTTGGTTCAGTCCCCAAATGTTTGCAATAACCAGGGCACCTGTCAGGCTCAAACCAAGAGCCTGGAAATCCACTGGGGTCTCCCACGTGGGTGGCAGAAGATTTGTCACCTGAGCCATCTTCCTCTGCCTTCACGGGTGCCTTAGCAGGGAGCTGGGACACAAGTGGAACACCCAGGACTCGAACCAGTGCTCCACTGGGACACGCTGCCATCATAGCTGCTGGCTTAACCCACCTGTACTGCAAACTGACGCCCTCAGACCTCTTCCTGGCCTGCATCCTCATGAGGTGTCTGAATTACACTGTGTTGGAGGACCTTCTCAGAAAGCAATTCCCCGACAGCTCAGCTAGAGCCAGGGACGACGTTGCCGACACAAATCCCAGGGTTTTCCCAAGAGAAAAGCATCTGGAATCACCTTGCAGGCCAGCAAATACACCTGTTGACTGCCTGGCCATGTGTAAGAACCTGGATACAGTTATGCCTTGTCTATCAGGAAACAGGCCATGGTCACATGCCACATGTGTGTAGGTGTGGGTGGGCAGCAGGGTTCAATTCCAACCCCTGCCACCTCAGTCACAGCCCATTTTGCCCCTTCTGTCATCTGCCATCTCAGAGCACCTGAGCTTGTGCCACAGCGCACCCTGGCCAGCCGGGGCAGTATGGACAGAGCTAAGCATCCATACTGTTTGGGCCATCCAGACAGCCGTCAGAGCTCTGAACAGCTCCCAAGTCAGGGTTGTTATTTGTAGGGCTGTGGTGTGAAGAGCTTGGGCATCTGCTTTTCTGAGCTGTGAGCCCAGGGAATGGCATCACAATAGACTATTACCCCCAGGGCCTGGGCTGGGCTGCCCTGCCATGTGCTTGCTAGGCCACCCAGTGGACCACCTCATACCGGAAGCCCTGGGTGATGGGAACAATTTCTTCGGGCACAGAGCAGCTGGAGTGGGTTCAAAACTGGGATAAGAAAAGCTCATGCTCCTGGTATTAAACACAGTCCATTCTCCTCTCATTTCAGAGAATCACCAGCATTCTAGAACTGAATCTTTCATTGGGTAAAATGAGGCATTCAGAGGTGGCTGGAGTGTTTTAAAAATCTTACAGGGCCGGTGTTATGGCATAGTGGGCTAAGATGCTGCCTCTGATGCTGGCATCCCATTTGGGGTGCTCTACTTCCAATCCAGCTCCCTGGTACTGCACCTGGGAAAGCAGCAGATTGCTTCGGGTCCTTGCAGCCACATGGGAGATGCAGAGGAAGCTCCTGGCTTCCACCTGCCTTGAGACAGCCCATTGCAGTCATTTGGAAATCTCTCTCTCTCTCTTTCTAGCTCTCCTTCTTTCTCTGCAATTGCCTTTTAAATAAATAACTAAATCCTTTTTAAAAGTCCGACAAATTCTGATGTCATTACACAAAACATTTTGAAAGCCCGTGTAAACAGATAGCTAACAGTCTTACCTTGGATGAAATGCCACTATAACAAAACAGAGGGAATCGAGTCCCACTTAGGGAAGAGCCACCAGGGACAGGTTGTAATGATGTATAGTTTTGGTATTTTCAGCCAAGTGCAAGTAACATGTAACAAGCTAAAGGGTGCGTGCTATGTTGGCATAATTCGACAAACATAAGCAAAGCATCATCCGTTCCTAACAGAGGACTTTGGCAAGCCTCCCTTTATGTCACGACTCGGGGAAGACAGGGCTCAGGGGCTTCTCTAAGGCTGAGAGAAGTCACAGCTGTCCCCAGCCGGTGCAGGTACACACTTGCTGTGTTGTGAACACCTCTGCAGGCCTTCCTGGAATTGCTGCAGCTATAGGAATGGAGCAGCTCCCGGGCAGGTGCTTGGCACAGCAGTCTAAGGACACCACCTTAGGATGCCTGCATCCAATACCCCAGAGCCCACCTTGGGAGTCCCAGTTCCATTCATGACTGCGCTTCCTGCCAGCGCACATCCCAGGCAAAGCAACAGGTCTCTGAGGTCCTGCCACCCACTTTGGAGACCTGGAGGGAGTTCTTGGCTCCTGGCATCCACCTGCACACGCCCTGGCTGTTGTGGGCATTAGGAGAGTGAACCAGCAGAAGGAAGGGCTGTCTCTCTCACCCTCAGTTTCTCTATTCTTATTTATTATTTTTTAAAGATTTATTTACTTTTACTGGTAAGGCATATATACAGAGAAGAGGAGAGACTGAGAGGAAGATCCTCCATCCGATGGTCCACTCACCAAGTGACTGCAACGGCTAGAGCTGAGCCAATCCAAAGCCAGGAGCCAGGAGCTCCTCTGGGTCTCCCACACATGTGCAGGGTCCCAAGGCCTTGGGTCATCCTCAACCACCCCCCACCCCCAGGCCACAAGCAGGGAGCTGGGTGGGAAGCAGGGCCGCTGGGACTAGACCCGGCGACCACATGGGATCTTGGAGCGTTCAAGGCGAGGACTTTAGCCACTAAGCCATCATGCCAGGCCCAATCTCTCTATTTTTAAATAAAAATTTAAAAATTATTGGAAAACAAAAGAAAGAAAAAAACTGCACATAGTCTGTATCTCATTAAAAAAAATGTATAAAAGGATTAGAGTTGTTTCCAGAAAGACACAGAACAATTACTAATAAAAGTTACTAAAAATCAGAAGAAAGCAGATCAAGAAGTGGTCCACAGTTGACAGGCCTGGGGTTCCTTCATCCAGAGTCCCAAATCCTAGCAGAGGGAACTGCCCAAGGGGCTCCTCTGGAGGGCCTTGGAAGAAAGGCATGCCATGTGGCATTTCTCCCTGGATTTTCTCTCCTGAAGGGTTCCTATTTGATGAAACGCAGGGCTTGTATGTCGGTGAGATTTATGATTGGTTCCCTTAAATAAGAATCCTTTCCCTTCAGCCAATCACCTCTCAACAGTCGAGCCTTTGCAAGCAAGCATCCACTGAATCTGGTTTCTTGGAAGAAGGTGCCAGGCCCACAGGGCCTGCTTCATGACACCCCAGTTCCCCTGGGATTCCCACCTTGGAGCCCTTCTTGAGCCTCTGAGCTGCTTTAATGTAGTAGAAATTTTATTGATTTGCTTTGTTGATCTTGGAAGGCAGAGAGAGAGAGAGAGAGAGAGCTTGCATTCACCAGTTCACTCCCCAGATAACCGCACCGGCCAGCCATGGGTCTGAAGCCAGGAGCTGGGAACTCAGCCAGGGTCTACTGCACAGACAGCAAGGGGCTCAAGGGCTCGACCATCACCTGCTGCCCCACAGCACGTGCGTTACCAGGCAGCTGGATTGGAAATGGAGCTGAGACTCGAACCCAGGCATCCCAGGGGAAACTTCAACTACTGGGCCAAAGGCTTGCCCCTGTTGTGAATTTCGAGCAGGTAAAGGCAAAAGTACACAAGACTTTAAAAATCTTGCTAATTGGGGACTGAAATTATGGTACAGGTGCGTCACATCTCAGGGCGCTGGTTCAAGTGTCAGCCTCTCCATTTCTGATCAGCTCCCTGCGAGGTATCTGAGGATGCTGTGAAAGATGGCCTGAGTACATGGGCACCTGCCACCCAAGTGGGAGACCTGAGTGGAACGCCTGGCAGCCAACTGGGATTGAACTAGTGGGTGGGAAAGCTGTGACTCTTCCTTTCTCTCTGCCTTTCAAGTAAATTAATTTAAAACAAACAAACAAAAAAACCCTCATTACCAGTTGAAAATATTCCCACTATTTACAATCTCATGAATAATGTTCAAAAAGCTTAGCTTGAAAGAAATAATTTTCACTGTGATGTGGCACATGGTCTTGTGCCATCTGAAATCTATCTACAAATTCAGAGTGACCAAAGCAAATCTAGCAAAGCGAGTGGAGGGAGGTGTGATGGCACAGCCCGGGCACAGCATGTTGCCTGCAATCATCCTCCTCCCCCAGTCTGGCTAATTACACTGACAAGCTGATGGCACCTTGCTGCCCTCCATTTCCCATCGGTATTGCAGCTTCATTCAGCCTTGGGCAAAGATTCACAAGGAAAATGCATTCTACAAACCATTTAGTATCTGTCCTGCCTCACTCTTTCCTCTCCATGCTGCCTCTTTCTACGGAGTGGTATGAAGTTACAGAGTGGTTTGAACTTCAGATGTAATCTTCCCGAGCAATTCTCTAGCTACAAACTTCCTGAATGTGACTCACAAGTCATCCAACTGACTTCGTGTCAAGCCAAGAGATGCTAGTTTCATCTCAAGCAAGCAGTTCCTCAGTTCTTCATGCCCTCCACACACACACACACACACACACACACACACACCCTCTCACACAATATACTCACACATACACGCTCTCACACACTCACACTCTCACACACAAGGAATCTGGGAAAGTTCACTAAAAATTTGTGTTGTTAAAACAATAAAAAAAAAATTATCCATGGATTTCATTTTTTGGGGCACCAAAATGACTTTTTTTTTTCCTTCTAGCTCCACTCTCCATGCACTTTTTAGGTTCCTCCTGTATTTTTGCAACCTGTCACTGCAGTTTGCACCTTTAGGTAAATCTAGAAGACAAACAGCAGAGACCTTAACTCCCATTAAGTTATTGAACAAAGAAGTTCACGACAGAGAGAGAGAGAGAGAGAAAGAGAGAGAGAGACAGGAACTGAGACCAGAAACAGATGGGACAAGGCCCAGCCCAACCCTCCTGGCTGGTGTACCTCTCTTTAATGGACATGGTCTTGCTGGGCGAGTCCACGGTGCTCTCCCCGGCCAGCGCTTTGATCTCTCCCGCAGCGAACATGGCGCAAGGGCTCTTGGAACTTTTCTCCAGGAGCCGCTGCTCCGGGGACTCCTGCTGCCTCCAGGAGGCCGGGGCTGCAGGCGGGGCCACGGTCTTCCCATCAACTGTATCCGACTGCTCGGAAGTGGGCTCCCCGAACTCCGTGGCTGCGGACACAGGGAACCGGGTCAGCACTTGACTTGGCCCGGAACGCGAGCCTCCGGCCATTCACCCCATCCGAAGTGCAGCGTTTGGAGGTCAACCCTGGCCAAACCGGGAGGGGTTCCTGCTTCACTTGCATGTTTGCAAGCCTGCAACATGCTACACCAATTAAAAAGAAAACAGACTCTGACACTCTGCAGAGGGCTAGGCGACCCTCTCGGGTGGGCATGCTCAGGCTGTGACCTTGAACTTTTGCACTAGGCACCATCTCCCCTGCGCTCCCTTAGCAAACTCCAGCTTAGAAGTCCACAGCCGGCACTCCACAATAAACAGAGAAAGAGGAGCGGAGTCCCATGTAGCCTGGCTTGCTAGTTGTAACTACAGAAAAGAGAGAGCCTGTTAATGCAGAAACTGGAGTTCAAGTTCTTATCAGCTGGGCTCACCCAGCCCTTGGCCCTATGGGGCCATGGGTCAGCTTACAACAGCAGCCAGCACATTAAAGCAGCAAAGGAGGCTGCCGGAGCTGGCCAGCATCCTCAGAAACGCCCCCCAAGCTGGGTCTAAGGGCTGTGGGCACTCACTCTGAATCCACTGAACAGGGTAAGATTTAAGAAGAAGGGGAGCCTGGGAAGAGAGAGTTTACTAGTGACTGAAAAAGGCGTTCTGCTCTGCCCCTTAGCAGGACTCATAATGCATGTGTGTACTCTGCCAAGCAGAACCTAAAACAGCAGGGGCTTCTGCAGCCCAGAGGGCAGGGAGGCGTTTACCTCGTAGCGAGAACTTTCTTTTGGCGACCTCCACCTCCAGCTTTTTTTCCGAGGGCTGTCTGTCCTGCAACTCCACGTTCCCTTGGGCACTGCTTTTGGCCTTGGCAAATTCTTTCAGTTCCTCCCCAGCCGGAGTGGCTGCCGGTTCCAGACTCCCTCTTCGGGGAACTGCATACAGGGGTTCCCTGGGGCCGTCTCTGCTCGGGATGGGTTGCCAAGGCTCCGCGTCCTCCGGGAATCCGGGTTTCTTCACGGGGCCGCCGCTGTCTCCCACCACCGAAGCTCTCCTGCTCTCCGACTCTCGGCATTCTCGCGACATTCCTCTGCTCCCACTCCCCTCTGCCACAGGCTGCCAGGCGTGCGGCTTCAGAATGCTCCTCACCGTGGCAGAATCGGCGCTCTCCATCCCAGAAGGCAACTTGTCCTCAGTGGTACCCACATCGTCGTCGGCGGTGGCGGCGGCAGGCGCTGGCGGCTTCGCCCGGAGCTCCCCAGCGTACATGGCGGGGACGGCTGAGGCCACGGTGGACACGGATGTGTTCACGGCAGGCGAGAACGGGATGAGCTTGCCACTCTGCACCTGCCAGTTAGAAAGAAGTAGCCAGACAGACACTGGTGAGGGACAGATTGCAAACAAAAGGCTGCTGTGGCATGCTGGCCTGCGCCCCTTATTCCCTTCCAGATGATTTTCAGCCAGTCAGAAAAGCAAAGAAACATACCCATTCTGCTTGTATTTTGGGGGGTGGGACGGAGGGACTCTCAAATTCTTAGTTAATGCAGTTTACCGGCCAGAGACCTCACCGGTGTTGGTGAACCTAAAAACAGAGCGGCCCCTCTAGGAAAGGAGGACGAGGGTGACAAGACGGGAACTCACGCACCTGCTCCACCTCTCCGAGGGTGACGGGCTGGGTCTGATAGCGAGCGTTCTTCCTTCTCTGTCTCAGGTCAATTCTGTTGCGGGTGGAAATGGCTTTGGAGACCGGCTGGGATAGTTTGTTAAACAAGGCCAGCTTCTCTGCTAAGCTGAGAGTGGAGGAATCAGGTTCTCCCAGTTCAGCATCCTCTTTGCCCTCGATTGTCGGCTCCCTGGCTGCGGTCTTTTGCTGAGCAGAAGCCTGTAGCCTGAAAGCAATCACCCGTCAGAGACAGACCTGAGGACCCACTTGCTCCTTCCCTATATAGATGAATTTGCACCCAAGCCTCGCTGGCCTTTGCCATGCACTAGTTTTGGTCCCTTACCTAAATGCAGGATTTTTTTTTTTTTTTTACAATGAGCAGAAATTATTTCTAAACTACAGAAGCTAAAGTTGTGTGGACCATATCTTAGGGGAGACAGGCTGCATGGTTAATGTCACAGGAAATAAGGCTCTGGTGGACCCACAGGTGTGGCCCTGGGCCCAGTCACTTTCTACACAAGTGGCTCAAAAACTAGCCTTTTTTTTTTTTCCCCCATTTTACAAACATGATCACCTGCTACCAACCTAACATGAAACACAGGTGATTGCAGCACTTCCAGGTTTTTAGAAGCGTGCTTAGACTGTCATTCCCAGGACGTCTGAAGAGCGGGGGACAGTTCCTGCCCCTCTGGAGGGCTTCCTAGACAGCACGACTTGGCCATGAGCAAATCTGGCTCTCAGACTGAGTGGGATGCAGGTTCGGCTGGACTCCCGTCAACCTCTGCGTACAGGATCACACAGAGCTGCAAGTGGCCGCCACAGGCAGGTGCACGAAGGGGTCTCGGTGTGCAGGTGCACGGTGAGGCGGTGACAAGCACCTCTGTCATCTATGCTACGTGAGGCCAGGGCAGCAACACCAGCTCTGGCCGACACCTTCTCCCTGCACCGCTCTTTCGCGCTCCTTATTATTTATTTTTTGAGTCTTTTGTATTTTGGCCCTCAACAGTACAACGAGGCTTAAGGACATCACTTGAAGACGGCATAATTCAAAATGGGACAGTGAAATATCCGAGTTATTTGTTGAATCCCAAATGGTGCCAGCCCTGCCTCTCCCTAGAGCAGAAACCGAGGGGATTATTTGAACACATGGGAGGCTGCTCCAACCAGGTCACGGAAAGATGGGATGCAAGGATCACTTGATGGCGTGCCAAGGAACTTTGAGATCCATGCAGAATTCCTTCCTAAGTCATGCTTTCCATGAACTTCCAGAAGACTCCCTCATATGGGTGCTTCCATACATCAAAAACAAAACAAAGCAAAACAACTGAGCCCAAGAATGTCAGCATTCAGAGTAACACCCCATTTTTCTGTTCATTTTGATGAGCTGTCGGCAGTTTAGATGAAGGATGAGAGTTTTTAGGTTATTATGGAAAACAGCAACCAGACACAAAGGTAAGCGGGTTAGTGGACATCTCATGGCAGTACAGATGTCTTTGATGGTAGACCAGATGTCTTTGATGCAGGCCTATGTGAAGTTCTCGGGTTTTGTATGACAGAAGACACAAACACCACGGATATTCTCCGAGCAACTCACTACACTGACTCACTTGTCACACACATGACAGGCACTCAAGACTGTAGGACACGATGCTACCCAGCTCTGTTGCCCTGGGTGCCACATGCAGCTGTTTTTCTTTTCTGTCCAGTACCTGGCAGGTGGCACCGTGCTCTTAGCTACCGCGGGGCTGGGAAGTCTCGCCACGAGTGGGTGGGTGACCCCAGCACGCGAAGAAGCAGGGATAGGATCACTACAAAAGCAATGACCAGAGAAAGGATATTCAGAAAGACAGAGAAGGAGAGAAAGCCAAGTTGTAGCAAGGAAAGCAAAGCTGTACATTCAGAAACAATACATTCCCAAACAGCAAGTGTTTGATTACTCGAAATGATCCGCTTCGGGAGGGGAAAACAAAAAAATCTCCCGAGCACTTGAATCAGGTGTATGATCAACGTCCCAGTTTCAAAGAGGAGCTGACAAAAGCTGAGAGTGGCCAGCGGCAGATCGGGAGATTGTGTGTGCATTTGAGAACGTTGTTCCTGATCTGTTAGCAAGAAGTGTCCTCAGACACCTGTTGAGCACATGAGATATAGACTCCGGGACCCCAAGCACAGGACTGTCTTTTCGCTAGGCATGGTTCCGCTTCCATGGAGAGCTGCTTCTTAGTCTACACCCAACACTCAGCTGCTTTTTTGTTTGTTTTCAAAAGGAACACACTGATTGACTAAGACTGCTTTAGTTAAGTACCAGAATGTTCTTATCCAAAATTATACCAGGAAACTGAGCAGCTTCTTGGGAAGAGAGCTGGGGAAGGCAGCCCGGTGGCAGGAGACAACAGCGTGTTTTCCCCTATACGCCATCCTGGATGGCGATGCTCAGGACGAAGCCACCCTCATTATGTCTGGGCAGCATGCGCCTGTGTCCACAAGAGGCAAACACTACAACGGCCAGCAGGTTAAGCCACTTCTTGCCAAGCCAACATCTCATGGGACGTGGATTCAAGTCCCAGCTGCTCCGCTTTCCATCCAGTTAATGCTCCTGAGAGCAGTCGAGGATGGCCCAAGGGCTTTGTCTCTGCTCCCTGCGTGGAGAGCCCTGGCTTTGGCCTGCTCATTGTGGCCATTTGGGAAGTAAACCAGCAGATGGAAAAATCTCTCCCTTTCTTTGTCAAACAGATAAACCTTTGAAACAAAAAACAGTTTCACTAGATGGATGTAATTATCATTAAATGACTTCTGAGGGAGTTAATTTAGAAAGTATTGGGATATACAAGGACACTTAAAAAAGTCTGCAGAAAATGGAATCATAAGTTCATTCTGCCGTCAAAAATGTTGGAATCCAGGCATAACTTTTTCATGACACGCATTCTCCACTAACTTTGGCAAGATATTTCAAATGCATGGATTTGAAACATTCTTCACACTCAAATGAACTTGCATTTTAATTCCATTTTTCCGTAAACGTTTTGAAGTACTTTCATGTGACTCAAAACAGACATTTGGAGAGTTATCGAATCAATAACCAATTTAAAAATATTTCTGATGATTATCTAAAAGCAAAATGAACCTCTGTCTTTTAGAGATTCTTAGATGAAATGAGGAAGTTTGATCAGAAATCATGAAGGGGGCAGTGGGGAATGGATGCGCACACGGGATACAGGTGGTGAGAGGCCAGCCGGGAACTGCGAAAGACTGAATCTGGGTTCACTGCAGCGAATTGCCTTCATGCTTTAACTTTTCCCATGGTTAAGGAGATCAACAAAACCCCTTCTAAGGCTGGCGCTGTGGCATAGTAGGTAAGGCCAAAGTCTGGGACATCAGAATCCCATTCAGGCTGTTCCAGCTCCTTGCTAATGCTCCTGGGAAAATAGCAGAGGATGGCCCAAGTGCTTGGACCCCTGCATCAAAGTGGGAGACCTGGATGAAGTTCCTTGCTCTTGACTTTGGCTTGGCCTGGTCACTGTGGCTATTTGGAGAGTGAACCAGCAGATGAAAGCTTTATAACTCTGCCTTTCAAGAAAAAAAATAAACCTTAAAGAAGGACCGGGGGCGGGGGAGGAAACACTCATGTTTTTTCAGCACTTCTGTAAGTTGCAAAGTTTATAAAGAGACATCAGCAAAGACATCTCCACCTACCAACTTCTCTGTGGCTTCCCTGCATCTGCCTGCTGTGCACTTGAAACTTGGCCACCTCTTGCTTTAAGAAGAGGCTGTGCGAGCCTCGTGCAGGGAGACCCTGAGGGTACTTACGTGGCTGCGATGACCACCTCCTCGGTGGTGATGGGCTGGGTGTGGGATCTGTCTTGCAGGCGTCGCAGCCTCTGCTCCACCGCTGCATTGCGAGAACGCCGCTTGGGAACCTGGGGTTCCTCAAACGACTTTTCCATTTCCTGTAAGTGGAGATGCAGTACAAACCTTATCCAGTCATGGAAGAGAAATGGGGTAGCTAGATATGTCCTCTCTGTGCTCCTGTAGGACCCTCAGGCTACAGAGCCTGTGCCACTGAGGGTGGGCATGAAGTGTCACCTTGGGGATGGGATGGCGGGGATGGAGGTGGGGTTGTGAGTCACAGTGCAGGGAGAGTGGCAGGCACACTGGAACAAGGTGCCCAGAGCCCTGTGCTGCAAGTGGATGCAGACTGCAGATAACACTTTTTGACAAGCAGATGGGCACACCTTACCCTGAATAGGAGTCTTTTGGCAGCTACACTCAGCTTGGCCCGTTCATCCACCTTTTCTTCATCTGTGAAAAGCCACAGAAGACAACTGAACATTATTAGAAACAAACAAACAAACAAAACAAAAAACAAACAGTAGAATTAGCTCTGGAAACTTGTCTGAGGCTGACTTGATAAGAATAGACATTTTCACAGCATTACTGGGAATTTTTTTCCCTTGTAGGGAACCTATGGAAATGGAGACCCAACTCAACTCAACCCAACCCAACCCAACCCAACCCAATCCAGTGCATCCCAACTCAACCCAACTCAGCTCAACTCAACCCAATCCAACCGAACCGAACCCAACCTGACCCAATCCAATACAACTCAACCCAGCCAGATCCTACCCAATTCAACCCAACCCAACTATGTGGGTGGTTGATTTCTATTTGGTGTTGGAGAAACTGAGATCTTAGAAGAGAGCTAATGGAAGGGATTTCTTTTCTTTGTGAAACAAGGAGTCAGAACCAGAAAAACCTACTTCTTTGGTTCAAATCAGTTTCTTTGTTTTTCAAAATTTGTTCATTCCAGGCTTGTCCACCTTGTCTCAAAAATTAAGGGAGAGTGAGTGTGAAGTTCTAATCAGACTTGCTGATAGTCACAGAAAGAAAACTTGCAGAAAAGTAAGAAAGCAAGAGTATCTTTAATCTTCTTCTCTCAAACAGGCCGACAAAGTTCTTATTTCAGTCTACTCTAGATGAGAAGATGTGCAAGAATGAAAGGAAAAATAGATACTTGCCTTCTGCAGTTGGCATTTCTGAACTGGAAATACACCTAGGAAAGATATCAGCAAATGATAATGCAAAAATTAGCAGGTGTAAATTGAAGATCCACAGCAAACAACATGTGACAAGCCTAACAAACAAAATGCACAGTTGACAACAACAACAAGTAAACAAACATCATCCTAGTAGCAAATCTAGTGAGTACATAGGACATCAGTTTATTGGTAGTGCAGAGTGAGTTCATCCACAGCTCACTGCTCCACTTCAGAGTCAAGAACAAGCTATTCAACACAGGTCCTCATTAATTCTTTACCACACCTTATCTCTATGCAATCATATATGCGAACTGAATATAAAGGCTCAGTTCAACAAGCGGGCATTTGTCAGACGATAAATACAAAACTGTCAAATCCAGTACTACTCTGTTCCAATTTCAAGTTAACTAGAGCATCCAAAAAGAAAACCATTCAAGGAAACAAAATGATGCTTCATCTTCCGTCATCCCATCAGAGCACAAAACTGTTAAAGATCAATGTTATTTGAAAAGATGAATTGACAAGCCAAGCGAACATCCTTTACAGACTAGAAGGGCAGCAATACAGAATCAGCAGCATCGAGACATCAAAGTGGTGAAAAACCTGACCATCCGACATGTGCTTCCGCCTTCCCAGACAGGGACACGTGCCTACCTATCTGATTCCTTTCGCTCTGCTGAGGTTATGGGTTGAGTTTTAAATCTCTCAGAAGTTTTCCTATTTTCACCAGGAGAAAAATAGCGCCTTGGTTTCCGGGACCCTCTTTCCCGGTCCGCATAGGTGGTCAAGCTAGCTCCATCAGCTGACTTCTGCACCCGGGATGGGCTTTCAGAATCACAGGGGCCACAGAAGACAGAGTGGGGAACAGACAGACACATGGAGAGAAGAAATCAGAGATTTATGCATCTTAGCGACTCAAGCCACAGACCCCATTACACCCTCTTGGCATGCCTCTACCACACACGGGGCAGGTGCAGCCAACCCAGGACCTGGCATGCCTCTACCACACACGGGGCAGGTGCAGTCAACTTGGGACCCACTCCCTGAGTTCCCCATTAGTAGACAGAAGCAAGATGGTAGTGTTTGAGCCATTTCCGGTTTCTGCCCTGCACACGTTTGTGAGCTAAGCTGATCTATTTAAGGTGGGACACAACACAAGTAGAGGAGTGCACCATTCTGCCAGCAGACGTGCAAGTGACACATCACGAGGACGTCAGGGACATCACCTACAGTTCAGGTTTCTGGCCGGCACTGGCAGACTCCAGAAACATGCTTCGGAGCTGGGCGACAGAGACCTTGGTGTCTAGCAGGCTGGCTTCTGCCCAGGGCACTTCAGTCTTGGAACTCACTGGCTCCGGCCCTCGCCTGGCAGCTGGGTCCTTGCCCTTGAGGAGCTGAGCCGGGCCAGTGAAGTCAGATAGTGAGCGGGTGCGAACCCGGTGCTTCCTAGCAGGTGCCTCGTTGGCATGGCCTGTTAGCTGGGCCTCTTGGGACGCTGGCTTGCTCTGCATATACAGGACCACCTCGCTCCGGGCTGGTCTCTCCAGGGGCTGGCACTCAGCTGTGGGTGATGCCAGGCTTTGGAGATCTTTCCGAGGATGTTCCATGGCCATCATGCCAAGGACAGGCTCATCAGAGTCCTCCTTTCCAGAGAGAACTTCCCGGCTGCCACCAGGCCTGTTGTCCTCCAAGGTCAAGGGCATCTTCAGGCTCTTCTTGAGCATGTCCTCCTCTGCTTTGGATTCACAGATATGGCGGGCGCCTTTCCTCTCTCCTTCCAGAACCTTCAAGGCAGGTGGCCTCGTGGTGTTCTGGGCGGTGGCGCCCACCCAGCTGCATTCAGAGCTGCTCTCTGGGGTCTCCAAGGTCACCAGCTGGGCGGTGTGCCCAGGGTCTGCCGGCTGCACGCAGCCGCGGAGGGGCTGGCGGCCAGTGCTGGCCACCCTCTCGAAGGCTGAGTGTTCGGACTGGAAGGACAGGTACTGCACTGACACTGGCTGATGTCTCCTCTGAGACAGGGCCTCTGTGGCCACATCGGGACTTCTGCGGGCACTCTCCTCTTTCACCAATTTTTCTCTCACTTTAACTCTTTGAGAAAGAAAAAGGATTTCAGTTGCAAAGTACCTTAGTGGCTAGATGGGAAGACAGCATGCGAGGGCCCCAGTGGCCAGTGGGTGGAAATCTACCCCAGGAGAAGCTCTTGTGAGAGTCAGGTTGGTGATGTGTGTCAGAAGCCCACAGCTGGGCAGCGGGAAGACTGTCAATATACTTGGAAGAGAAGCAAGGGACAGGACATTCCTACTGACCGGCTCACTCCCCCAAGTGCTAACAATGGCTGGGCTGAAGCTGGCAGCCAGGAACTCCACCTGCATCTCACACGCGAGCGACAGGGACCAAACTCCTCGTGCCATCACCTCCCAGGGTCCACATTAGCAGGGAGCCGGAGGTGGGCATCAAATCCAGGGACCCGGATGTGGGCAGTGAATCACCGATTCTACTCCTTATAAAACTACAACAGGGCCGTCAGATGCTATCTTTGGGGGAGACTCCACCCCTTCTGAAGAAATAAGTGTTCTAGAAGCCAGAGGAGGGTGTATTAGTGCACCCCACCAGAGAACAGGAATGATGCAGGAAGGGTCCCCGAAGCAGGTGCCTGGGCCAGGTGTAATCTACACGCAGGCAAGCCCCCATGGGTTAAACGATGCCATCCTCTGCTACGGTAGGAGGAGCATTTGGGATCACTGTATCTCCAGATGCCACCTTCTCTTCTCTTTCAAAGCACCCCGCAAAACATTCACACACTTTGCATGCAACGTAGACTGCACTGGTTCCCAAGACTCGTGGCCCCTCAGGACGCCACTGCAGCGTGCTCAGAGAATGGGAGCGGAAAGGCTTGCGACAGGCCTCCCTGGGAACTGCTGCTAGGCTCAGTACTAAAAACTCATCTACCACAACATCACTGCAGCTGTCTCCAGGGTACTGACATATCTGAGAACCCCCCTGCAATGCATGTCCAAGGCTCCAGACCCTCCCTCAGCCCCGTGGAAGCAGAGTGGCCATGTCTCTGCTCTTAAAAGCTCTTTATCCCTTGCACGGCTGTAGTGGCATGAGTGCCGCGCTAGTTGCAAAGCGTCGGGGCTGTAGACTGTGTTAGTGGTTCTTGCGCTTTTCGTAGCAAGAAAGCAGGAGCCACCCAACTGATGGTGGCGGAAGCTGGAACAGTGAAGAACGCTTCCTGGTGGAGTGGGACAAGTGACTTCCTGGAGTGGGGGCATGGACAGAATTCATGGACTTCAGCCAGCACTTGTCTTTAATTCTATTTTTGCTCTAACTCTCTTTGTAGTCTCTGGGACAGACACGCCTCAAAGGCCGATGAAGTGACTAAGAACAAGTCTGATGGAAAGTCAGAGACATGCCAGTGTTGGGAGGCGTCCATGCAGAAAGCGTTTGGTCATCCGCAGACGACAACAGTGCGGTCAAGTTCTCCTCCGGAATGCGTGTGTCTGATTGGAGACAATTAGCATGTTGTCCTCCGCGGAGAACACAGCGCCTGCTGGAAACTGGCTATGTGGGCGCTTTGTCCTGCCCATGACTGACTCATTCTTACTTCTTCCGCCTCTCCCTGATCCGCCGCACTGCCCCCACTGCTCCGCCCCCTATTGACAATGTCATTTTGGGGGGTCTGATTTTAAATGTGCATGGCCTACATTTGACTGTTGACAAGGAAGCCCTGGTTTGGGATTGAGGAGACAGGAGAAGCAGAAGGCTGGAAATGCGAGGAAAGTCCAGAGGGGCCCCTGACTCCTTAGTCTGACTCCCTTGGACCCAAGCGTGCACTCACGGCTGCCCCCAGCTGGCCACTTTCGCGTGAGTCAGCGGAAGAAGTGAGAGGTTCCCCACTGACTTGCTAGGGTAAGGAGAGAGAAAGAGAACTGGCGTGGGTGAGGGCAACGGGAGGAGCGTGGCCAACGGTGAGAGGAAACTCCAGCTGTCCCCGGAGAACACACGGTGTCCAGTGTATTGTCAGTCACAGAGGGTGGGAGGAGTTAGCCAGGCAGGTCACTGGGAAGGGCAGGCAATGCTAGGCACGGAGCTGCAGGCAGAGGTGTACCTGGAGGGCCAGTTGATGAGTGAAGATGTGTCCCCCTCGGCATCTTTCTGGAGGAGCCACTCGTGTTTGGGTCTCCCCGGACTTCCGGGCACCAAAGCAAAAAAAAACCACAAAACAACACAAAATACACACACAACTTGAGATGCTTTGTCGTCTGTGCACATGGCCACTGACATGCAGTGTGGTTGCCCTTTGGAGAGGATCCAGCTTCTGAGAAGCCACCCTTGGCCACCCATCCCACGTAATGCTCAGGCACACAGGTCACTCCTAAGACCTGGATGTAGAACAGATCCACCTGCGAGCCCTCAGCTAACGTGTTTTCCAAGTCGTTTCAAAATGATTAGAAAACACAGGATAGTCACTCCCCATGGAAGTGATCCCTCCATGGATGTTACATGAAAGACAGGAGCGCATTTCAGAAAGTTTGTGGGGGAAAATATGTCATGAATAGGTAAGTTTATATTGTGGCATATATGCATGCATAGTTTTTTTTTTCAGAATACGTATTTCCCATGAACTTTTTGAAATGTTTGCATATCAGGAACCCAATTTCTGCTGGTCAACATTGAGTTATGAGAACACCGTCCCTGCAAAAGAAATCAACAATACCCACGGCTCTCATAACTACCACCTTTTTCCTTTTCTCATTGTGCTATGTGACGAATGGCGTACAGGTGGGCATTCACTTCCAGCAGATAGACGCAGAGTTCCCGTTACTGAGCCAAGTTCTGGGCACTGGCAGGTGAATCAGGTACCATCCTGACCACTGAGAGCCCTTCACCCCCTCAGGGATGAGAGAACCCATTCACTCCCCAGCACTCATCCAGGGATGACAATTGTAACAGGCTGAGGATATGTCAGAGAAATTGATCGAAGGCCAGGAAAAGCTGGTGGAAGCACAGTGAAGGAAGCCCAGGAGGGACACTCCATCTGTGACCTGTGTCCTCTTGCAAAAAAACCCCACGGAAATCTTAAGTACAAGTTAAAATATCTCCTGGCTTTGGACCTACTGCCCTGATTCACAGAGTGCCCTAGGAGGTGGCTGGGAACCTGCTGTAGCACCAAGTGGCTTCTTACAGTGTAATGATCATTTAATTCAATTGGTAGAATATGAGACACAGCCTACAAGGCTGGCATCCCATATGGGCTGGTTTGTGTCCCTGCTGCTTCATGGAAGACCCATGTGTTTGAGCCCTAGCCATCCATGTGGGAGACCCAGATGAAGCTCCTGGCTCCTGGCTTTGGCCAGGCTTAGTCCTGCTGCTGAAGCCACTTGGGAAATGAACCAGCAGATGGAAGAACTCTCTTTGTGTCTTCCCTTCTCTCTAACTCTGATTTTCAAATGAACACATCTTTAAAAAGTACAATGGGATCTTCCATTGTAGTTAGAGCTGTGGAACAAGCTGGCAGGCCAGAAGCAAGTGGCCATACTTGTGACATCTTTCTGCCACCCGGTCTTAACCTGTCCTACTCTCAGAGTGGCCTCGGCTGTCATTCCAGTGAAACCATTCTGCATTTCTACACTCCAACTTTTCACTCCATGGTCTAACTCCCCAAGATCACAGCAGTGATGGTCATGGCCACTGGGAGATTCAGGCGCCCGTGGGGTTGTTTTGCTTTCAGCAACACATTACCCAACTTCCCAACGTGTGTTCCAACTAGACACAGGGACAATTTCCCAGCTCAGACAGGGGAGCATGCAATTCAGCACAGCATAGTAAGGCAGTGCTGGACATGGGCTCTGGTGGGACGATGGTCGATGAGGTCGCCTTGAAAGTGCCTGTTGGGTAATGCATGCCCTGAACACTGTGAAGTGCTCTAGAACTTTCCTCAGCATGGTCATCAAACATGTGAGGCGCTTGCTGAAGAATATACGGGGTGAGCATTTATCCCACCAGAAGCCGTGGGTGGGGCTCCACGGACTGGCGGCCAATGTGTTTCTCCATGACCTGAGTCACCATTGTCTCCTCTGCATTAGCAAAGGATGAACTGGGACTTAAATCAAGGCTCTGTGAAGTGGCGTGTGGGTGCTTTCACCCCTCACCTAAATGCTCGCTGCTAAAACAGATACTTGTTTACTTATTTAAAGAGTTATTTACTTTGAAAGGCAGAGTTACAGAGAGAGAGAGAGAGAGAGGAGAGAGAGAGCTGCTCTCTGCTGGCTCATTTCCCAAAATGGTCACATAGCTAGGGCTGGACCAGGTCAAAACCAGGAGACTCAGACTTCTTTAGGGTCTCCCATGGGTGTGGCAGGGACCCAAGGATTTGGACCACTTCTGTTGCTTTCCCAGTGCAGCGAGTTAGATCAGAAATGAGGCAGCCAGCACTTCCCATACAGGACACCAGCACTGCAGACAGAGGTTTAACCTGTGGTACCATAACCCTCCCCAGAGCAATCCATCCATCCGAATTTCTGGGCCAAAAACAGGGTGTCGGGGCTAAAGAGCCTGACTGTATATGCCTCAATCCATCCATCAATCAAATAACTCACTGAAACAAATCTTCATCTTACAAACTGAGCATGAGATAACTTCAATATGGTGATGACCCAGAGAATACTATCCTAGGTACGGCCACGTAGCTGGGAAGGCTGATTACCCAGTGCTGCTTCTGCCTCCCAGCCTGAAAGAGCAGACATTCAAAGACCCAGTTTGTGTTCCATGATTCCCCTGCAGGAATGGAAAGTGGAAGTCGAAACTCAAGTTATCTGGGTGCAAAATCGTTTTGAAATCCACGCATAGCTTTGTCATACTCTGTGTGTTCTGTGACTGCGAAGATTCCATGCACTGCACAGGTGTGTGTGTGTGTGTGTGTGTGTGTGTGTGTGTGTGTGTGTGTGCACGCATGCGCGTGCACCTGATCTAAGCCAAAAGGCCGAGAAGTGATGTGTGTCTGTGTGCACATGAGCACACACAGAAGCTGCACTGGATAGCTGGCTTTCCGTAGAATTTTCTAGACCTTATTTGATGACTCATTTATGAGTGGTGTAGCCGTGTTGAACTCATGAATGAAAAACAGCCCCATGCCAGCAACTCCCAAATGAAGTGCTGAAATGGAAACGGGTTCATTTGGGGCTCAGACACTTTGCAACGCTCGCTTGCTGATGAGAGAACAGAGTAGCAAGAGGAGTATTCGTTTCGGTGGCGGAACCAATGCCCTGAGTTTCAGCCTTCGGGAGGCTTTGTTGCTTTGTTTCGTGGCTTCTTCTCCCTTCACTGCTTCAACTTCTGCATTATCAGATGCCCCCTGCTTTCCCATGTGGTTGCTTGGGTCACCGGGACCTCTTCTGTTCTTGGCCCAAAGTTACAAAGCACTCTCTTTTTTGGCCTCTTTGCCTCCCCTTTGTCCCCCGCTCACCCCAAGTCTAATGACATTGACTTCCTGAAGACATTGCTCCCTAGCTAAGGGGCACCAAAGGCGAATGTCAATCCATGTTAAATCCATCTTTACAAGCAGAGTCCATGCAATCTTCCTGGAACAAGTGTTTGTCTTTGAAAAGGTCACCCCTGCCACGCTCTTCTAATCTATATCTGCAAATGCCTGCTGGGCACTTCAGTAACCCACCTGAAGAGGTGTGTGTGTGTGTGTATGTGTTTAGGAATCATAGTTGTAGGCTTTCCATGGCTTCAGAGAGTACAAGCACGCACCCCCTTCTAGAACATTCTTTTTAGCCTCATTCTTATGAAAGGACAATACCAGGAAGCTGAGGCTAGGCCTGGTAACAGCGTTCCTACACGTGGTGGTGCTGCTGGAGAGAGCTGGATAAACCTACAACGCTCTCCCCCGGGACCTTCACACGTGACGCTTGCCAGAGTTTGTATATTGAGATTTGGAATGAGCTAGAACCCTTTGTATATCCTACTGTTTTTCAGGCTTGAGTAACTCCAGATGCTTTTAGAACTATGACAACTGGTTCGGAGTCTCTCTTCTTTCTGTGATCTCAGTGACCAGAGCAGATACCATGACAACAATTCAAAACAGCTGTCACTCCGGCGTACGGCAATCCGAAATGAGATTCCTCACGCTACATGCAATGCACTTGTATATCTATTGCCACGGTTCTTTCTAAATTGGGACTTGTTCCATTTCTTTTCCTTTTTCAACTGACAAACTCCGTGGACAACTTGCTTTGCTAGAAGACTGAACTCAGGAGAAAAATACGAGGCAACAGAGCCCCTTCCCTGTGTTTTGAAGAATTAAGCATGGAGCTAGAGCCCATAAAAAAAAAGCCATTCATGGGAGCTATAGAACTAACGCTCAGAAATGGAGATATCTTGAGATAAAGGCTGAGTGCTGACAGGCCATTGGGTTGGGACCCCTCATTCACATTGTTTGCTTCAATTCTTCAATGCATGCATTTTTTTTTCTTTCAGAATAAATCCACTCAACCTCAGGTTCTTGCCCCTTTTGGTAAGCGACTCCTTGTCCAAGGTGCCTTGGGCACCTACTTGGGACAGCGATCCCAGCCCTTCGGCTTTGACTTTGGAAATAGACACATACAGTCTTCTGGCACTGGGCTTTCACTGTCTTTTCCACTTCCCCAACTTGGGAGCCACTCTTGCTTTCCTTCCCCACGTTGGCCATTGGAATGAGGAGCCCTAATTCACAACCACCTCATTGTTGATGGATGGATGGATGGATGGATGGATGGATGGATGGACGGATGGATGGATGGATGGATGGGTGGGTGGATGGATGGATGGATGGACGGATGGATGGATGGATGGCATACACGCGCATATCTGTGCATTCATGCTCATGATCAGCGTGAACCCTGCACGTTACATGGGATTCCCCTGGCCCCACCAACTGTTCAATCACAATTAGGGAAAAAAAAAAAAAAAAAAGAAAACCTAAGACTAAATTATGCAAGGAGGGTGAGCCACACAGGAAAACAGGGATCCTGGAAGAAGATGGGCTTAGGCCCCTGATCCCCATAAGGCGAAGTATGTTAGCATCATAAAGGAACACAGAAGCAATCAGACCCACTGGACATGAAACAGCCTGTTTTGATCCAATCTGCTAGACACTGTGGAAATCGAGCAACAACAATCAAAAAACCCCATGCATTATCCAGTGAGCTGTCAGGAAAACTTCAAGTGCGCCACTCAGCGAGGAAAAGAGAAGGTGCCAGTGGCCCACGTGCTGGGGGGTGGTGCGGCGGGGAGAGTGAGGGGTGCATGCTCACCTGGATCGGGTCTCGGGGGGCAGAGGCACGTCACCTGCTGAGTGGCTTGGGGAGGCTGGCCGCTGCAGGGACGAGCTGTGCATTTGCTGTGGGGACCTTGGCACTTGGGTGCAGGAGGAGTCTCGGCCAGGGAAGAAGGATGAGGGGCTTTCAGTCGTGGGGGGCAGGTCCTGGGCAGCATGCCTGGGGGCAGCCTGCTCCACCTGGCCGCGTCTCTGGTTTTCCACGTTCAACAAGAGCTCCCTGTGGTCCCTGGCCTCCAGCGCACAGCTCCGGGAGTACAGAGGACTTGATTCCTGGCCAGGCTCCTCTGGTTTCTCGCCTCTCCCTGCCCGCTTGTCCACCACCTCGTGGTCCCTCCTGGACTTGCTATAGCGCGAGAGGTACTCGGAGTCACCTTCTGGCCCCAGCGTGAGCCCGTACTTCTCAGCCAGTTGTCGCCTCCTTTCGGCTTTGTATCGGGCGATCCTCTCTGCTTTGGACTCGAGCCCGTGGGTGTCCGTGGTGCTTGTGCTGTAGGATGCATCAGCATGGACGTCTGAGGAGTCCGGGCAGTACTTGGACCGAGTCTGCTTATCTGAGGAAGAATCCGAGGTTTCCTCCTCTTCATTTGTTCGGCCTGGGAGAAGACATGCGAGTCATCAACACGTGGCGATCCGGAACTTCTCTCTCTCTCTCTCTCTCTCTCTCTCACACACACACACACACACACAACCTACTTGTATACATAGGACTCACTCTCAGACCTATACCAGCCACACAGGAAGAGGGCCAGAGCCTCACACACTTTTTTCTCTGTCTATTTCTTGTTGGTGTCATGTTTATTTATTAAAGATTTCATGTATCTATTTGAAAGGCAGAGTGACACAGAGGGAAAGAGAGGCTTTCCATCTGCTGGTTCTTTCCGCAAATGGCCACAGGGGCCAGGGCTGGGTCGGGTAGGACCCTGGAGCCCGGAGCCCGGAACTCCAGCTGAAGCTCGTTATGTAGGTGACAGCAGCCCAGGCACTTGGACCATTTCCCACTGCGTTCCCAAGTGGGGCAGCCAGGACTTGAATGAGTGATGTGCAAATGGGATACTGGCTTTGTGAGTTGACAGCTGAACTTGCTACGCTTCGAGACAGGGCCCTGGTTTTGAATTTAACATTTCCACATAAAGCCAGAGCAGGAGCTCAAAGTCATCTGGAAAACAGAGCAGGTACTGGCAGTGGCATGATCTTACAGGTGACAAATGAGTTTCATTGGCATGACATGGTGCCTTAAGAGTACAGCCTACACCAGCTTGTGGTTTGTTTCGTTAATAGAAATGCTTGTCTCCACTTGTAGCGTATGACTGATGCAAACAAAATCTAATATGAAAAGGAATGCAGTTAAAACTTCAAATCTCCAATAATAAATCAGGATGTATTTTTATGTTTTAGACATCCTTTCTAGGTTTTTGTTGATTTGTTTTTTTAATATAAAATAGTTCATATTATGAATGTTTTATAGAATATTTTCTTCTTTTAAAAAAGGTTTATTTTTTTACTTTGTTGAAAGGTAGACTAACAGAGAGGGAACGAGAAAGGGAGAAATAGAGAGAGGGGGAAAAACAGAGGGATCTTCCATCTGCTGATTCACTCTCCAGATGGCTGCAGCTTCTTGGGCTGGGCCAGCCAGGAGCCAGGAGCTTCTTCCATGACTTTAACATGAGTGGCAGGGGTTCGGGGACCTGGGTCATCTTTCCCTGCTTTCCCAGGTGGAAAGGAGCTAGATTGGAAGTAGAAAATCCAGGACTTGAGCTGGTTCTGATACAAGAAGCTGACACTGTAGGCAGCAGCTGAACACGCTGTGCGACAATGCTGGCCCCAGAAAATATCTTTTTTCTTATATAAGGATACATCAAAATACTTATAGAAGCGGGGTTCAAATGACAACCTCATTTTGGTGCGAGGGCACCTGCATATTTGTATGTGCAAATCTTACTTTGAGGGCTCTTAGCTTCCATAACAGCTTGTAGAGTACACAATTCCTAATTAACATTTCAAGACACATCTCAGCCTGCTAGCTATTTAAGTTGATTCTAATTTCTTACCGTTTATCTATTCATTTTTATTTACAATAAGGATGAAGTAAGAGAGAGGTCTTCGTTCACCAGCTCACACTTGAAATGTCTACGATAGCTTGGGCTGGACCAGGCCACAGCTGGAGACAAACATTCCGTCCAGATCTGCCATGTGGGTGGCACAGACGCAGGGAAGTGAGCTGGCACCTGCTGCCTCCCAGGGTGCATGTTAGCAGGGAGTTGAGTCACGAGCAGAGGCAGGACTCGATCCGGGCACTCAGCTCTGGAGGCTGGTGTCACAAGCGGCAATTTAACCTGTAGTGCCACCGCAGCCACTCCCATTCTTAAAACATTGATTTGATGCGTATTCACTTGAAAGTAAGAGCTATTTCTAATTTGTGTTTATCCTGAGTTTCCAGTTACAACCACCACAGGCTCCTACGAAGAGAATTATTTGATCAATAAGACACCTACTAGACTGTCAAATTATTTTTCTAGAAAGTCTGCATCAATTATACTTTGTTTGGCAGGAAACAAAGAGAGAAAGCATGTATTTTTCATCTGTGCAATCACCCTTTCAATTCTATTCCTATTCTCTGGAATGCTTGCTTTAGCTCTTCACTCTACATTTTATCAACTGGCAGTGTTGTTTTTATTGGTTTATATAATCATTCTTAAAAAGATTGTAAATTTTTATTTGAAGGAGTTAAACAGAAGAAGAGAGAAAGAGGGAGAGAGAAAAAAGAGAAATTTCCCATCTGCTCGTTCACTCAGTGGGTCACAATGGCTAGAGCTGAGCCTATCTGAAGTCGGGAGCTGGGAGCTTCTTCCGGGTCTCGATGTGGGTGGAAAGGATCAAATACTTAGATCTCCTCTGCTGCCTTCCCAGATCATATGCAAGGGGTCATAGCAGAGGTGGAGCAGCTGGAACGTGAACTGGAACCCATCGGGGATGCTGGTGTGGAAGGCGCTGGCCTCAGGTAAGTGTAACCTTATGTAAGAATAATGATCTGGTCTGTGCTTCAGAAATACATTCAGACCTTGCCAGTGGGTTAATCCCATTGTGAGTTCTATGCACCATTAAAAATATATCAAAATGTCCTTCTCCAAGGTCAACCAGAGTATTGGAAAGCCTCTAACAGTGACTTGATATAACCATGCAGAAACAGGGTTGTAGTCCATGTCCTGTTTCAATGTTCCATGAGTGTGCCAGGCGGTGACATTCCCACATACTGAAATGACTCATACAAGACGAAATGTTACATATACACACAGGTTAACAAGCCTACTCTTACAGGGGCCAGTTTGGCTTCTAAAGCTCAGGGCTGGGAGCCACCATTCCCCAGGCTGGGCATTGGGCAGATTGTTCCAACCTCCTATGTGGAAACAGACTTAATCTCTTTGCTGAATTTTCCAACAAACTTTCGGAAGCCACTTTGTGGCTCATTTTCCACCACCTTAGGGTGCAGGGCGCCGACCTGAGGGTGTCCACCTCCTTTCCGCCCCGCCTTGGGGGCACCGCGTGCTCACCGGTGTGCGGGCTGGCAGGATCCGAGGCGCGCATGTATCTGGGCGTGTCTTCCTCCAGCAGGCGGTGCGTCACCAGGCCGGTGCAGCTCTGCAGGAGGAGGGGCTGCGGGTCATTCTCGATGCCTTCGAGGCGCCTGGCAATTCTTTCTTTTCTGCACGAGACACCAAACAAGGGCTGATGAGCTCCATAGAAGATGCTCAAGAACGGAGTGGTTGCCGGGCCAAGCTCTGGAGCTTTCCATCTTACCTCTTCATGTCTACAAATTCTTTCGTCTTCGGTTCAAAGATCTTTCTCAATTCTGCCACTAAAACGAAACAAAGAGTCCCAGTTTAGGAGTCAGATACTCATAGGCAGACCACACGTTTCTGGTTCTGCGTCATTCGTGACTTTCAAACCCATTAGGTTGCTACTTGCTTGGGGGGCTGCTCTCCAGGGAGTTGGGTGAGCACAGGTGTCAAAGAGATGAGCATGGGCGACCCCACCCACACACAGACCCACACACAGACAGGACCAGGAGGCAGAATCATCCCGGTAAGGGAGCAGGTGGTGTCTGACCCAGGGCAGCCAAAGGGAGCCCAGTTGGATGGAGCAGGCGTTCTCTCTTAATCCAAGAAATGCAGCTTCCGTTGGGTTTCACGAGTGCTCCTTTTGAAAGACAGAATAATACAGAGAGAAAGGTAGAGAGAGACACACACAGAAGGAGAGAGATCTTCCTTCTGCTGGCTCCCTCCTTAACAACCAAAGCTGGGCCAGGATGAAACCAGCAGCATAGAATTCCTTCAGGGTCTCCCAAATGGGTGGTAGAGGGCCAGATACCTGGGTCATCCTCCGCTGCTCTCCCAGATACGTTAGCAGGGAATAGGATCGGAAGTGGAGCGGCTGGGCTTGCGTAGATACTGGTATTACAAGCAGTGGCTTAACCCCCTATGCTACAGTGCCAGTCTCATAGCAAAGTATCTTAAGCGTTCATGACAGAAACCACTGACAGAAGTAGAGGAGGATGCTGACTTGCATGGGACCACCAGGAGCCACAGCCTCCTTACACCACCTCACCACTGCACCTGTGACTGTAGGGACCTCTGAGATGGACGGTGCTTCCAGGAACACCACATGGCTCCCATGGATAGCCACAACTTGGAGCCACACAGACCCTAGCTGCCCCCTGGCTGGCTGCGCTTGAAAGGAAATGTCCCCATGGACTTCCCGGCAAAAAGTTCGGTGATGACCGGTGACCCCAGCCTCCCCTCTCTCCAGCAGCAAGGGATGACAGGAACACAGATTTGGCTGAGGCTGGGAGTGTCTCCCATGACCCTAACACACAGGGACACTTGCTTTGATGCCAGGCGACTGTTTTTTTGGGAAATGGCCTGAGTTGGTCTCAATCACATCAGCTCACAGGGCTTTTCAGAGTGCTTCACTGGGGACCTTGGACGGGGCAGGAAGGGGAAGGAGACGGGGGTGACCTCAAAGTAGGGTGACGGACATAGCGACTCTGAAGTCCAACAGAGGGAGGGTGGGAGACAGAGTGAGCTCCCGCCTGCCAGTTCGCTGCCTGCATGCACACAAATGATGGAGCTAGGTCAACGGGAACCAAGAAAGAGCCCGGAAGTTCCACCTGCATCTTCCACGTGGGTGGCAGAGACCCAGTTGCTCAAGCCATCCCCACTGCCCCTCAGGGTTTACCTTAGCAGGAAGCTGGAATCGGCAGGTGTGGATCAGGGCTAGAACCCAGGCCCTCAGCCTGGGATGCAAACATCCTAACCTCCAGGTCAAATGCTTGTCGCTCAGCTTACTGTGGAAGTTGCCATCCACACGTCAGACATCACCCTGCGCTGCGTGTGGACATGACATGCTTTTTGTTTGTTTAGATGACAGCTTCCTTCAGACTTCAGCTGACCTGCCTTTAAAGGTAATTTGAAAGATAAATCTCCCAGCTGTCTCCCCTAGGAGCAGGGTGGCAGGAGGCAGAGCTATACCTGCTGTCCACCGTTCCTACTGGCTTGTGGGGCAAGGGGCAGCCTGAGTCACAGCAGCTTCCCACTGAACAAGTTTGCTCTATTGAGATTGTGGCTGTAAGACTTGCACAACCTAGCCATGTCAAAGCCATGTTCACGGGTGTGCTACACCGAAGAATGCGACGTGGGTTATCTAACCCCCAGAGAGGAGGAGGGGGTCATGTTTTTCCTAAGACCCCGCAGGCAGCTGTTGGAAGTGAACCCCAAGTGCCCTGAAAGGCATGTCTGAAACCTGCGCCCCAAACCCAGCTCTGATGGATGAGGGATGCTGTACTAACAGTAACGGGAGCTACATAGCACAATTCGTTACCTTTCTTCCCCACAGCTACTTAACTTCAGTAAGAGTCATTCACACACAGGGAGTGTCATCCAACGTTCACCGGCCATATTTAAGACATACTGCTTGGTTGTGGCTCTAAATGGATTTTCATAATCACTTTAATTTGATTAGATGTCTCATTGTTACATTTTTTTTTTCTGTAGAAATGACACACCCTAAGAATCCTGTACAAAAGCTAAGCAGCAAGATGCGCCTTGTCACCTGCTGTTTCTGAATTCTGGAAGGGCAGGTTAATTAGCCAGGAGATTATACCCATCTCCCACCAGGCACTGGTGGCCACGCTTGCGCATGCACAAGGACCAGGCTGAGACGGACACAGCTGAGGGACATGACTGTGGTTTATCAAGAACCTGAGCCTCGGCCTGCAGCAGAGACAACAGAGAGTGGGATGGGGAGCCAGCTGTCCTCTCGGGGAGGAGACCACTGCCCCTTCCTGGACATCAGGCCGAGCCACCCACCTTGAGCATGGCCATCAGACAGCCAATGATTTCTGTATGTAGGAGAGGAAATCTTGGACCTAGCACATTAGCCTAGTGGCCTTATCTTGCATGTGCCAGGATCCCATCTGGGTGCCGGTTTGTGTTCTGGCTGCTCCACTTCCCAACCAGCTCTTTGTTTGTGGTCTGGGAAAACAGTAAAGGATGGCCCGAAACCTTGGGACTCTGCACCCATGTGGGAGACCCGGAAGAAGCTCCTGGCTTCAGATTGGCTCAGCTCCAGCTGTTGCAATCACTTGGAGAGTGAAGCAGCAGATATAAAATCTTTTGCTCTGTCTGTCCTTCTCTCTGTAAATCTTACTATCCAATTAAAAAAAAATCTTTAAAAGAAGAGAGAGAGGAAGTCTCCACGTTGCATATTATTTATATGTTATATTTTTATTTGTATGCATTTTATTTGCATGTTCCCTTATTTGCAAGGGACACACAGAGAGAGATCTTACGTCTGCTGATTCACTCCCCAAACGCCCACAATAGCCGGTGTGGCCAAGTCTTAGCTGGGAGCCAGGGACACTCGTCAAGTTTCCCGTGTGGGATACTTTCCCAAGTCCTTGAGCTGCCTCTCAGGGTGTGCGTGAACAGGAAGGTGGACTGGAAGTGGAGCACCTGGGAATTAAACCAGGCCTTCTGACACGGGTTGTAGTTGTCGCACATGGTAGTGCAGCAAAACCCATCCATGACTTTCACACCTTAAATGTGTGCTTTGTGCCAACAGGGCTCTTTCAGGAGACAGAGGAGTAGATTTGGTCCAGTTCATAAACCCTCCATGGACTTGCTACTTCAAGTTCAATAGAGTCAGAGCCATTTATCCTTCGATTGCTTGTTCGGGACCCGTAGTTAGATGAAGTCTCATTGGGGGAAAAAAATGCTCAATTTCACATCAGCAAAAAATCCCTCCATAAACACATAGAAACTTCTGCAAATTTATACACAAACAGAAAGATCCATGTCATTAAAACAAAATCACACTCACTTTTTTTTTTTAAAAAGATTTTTTTTTTTAAATTGGAAAGGCAGATATACAGAAAGAAGGAGATACAGAGAGAAAGATCTTCTGTTTGCTGGTTCATTCTCCAAGTGGCTGCAATGGCTGGAGCTAAGCCAATCCGAAGCCAGGAGCCAGGAGCCCCCTTGGGGTTTCTAACATGGTCGCAGGGTCCCAAGGCCTTGCTCCATCTTCCACTGCTTTCCCAGGCCACAAGCAGGGAGCTGGAAGTGAAGTGGAGCAGCTGGGATAAGAACTGATGCCCATATGGGATGCCAGCGCATGCAAGTCAACAATTTAGCCATTAGGCTATTGCACTGGGCTCACTTTAAAAAATCATAATGAAATTGCTAAGAGCTAACAGACTAAATCATTAACATACAAGATGGAACAGCAAAAAATTGGGGCTAGCAATGTGGTGGCATAGGTTGACCCACAGCTTGTAACGCAGGCATCCCATATGGCAGTGGTCCAAGTCCTGGCTGCTCCACTTATGATCCAGCTCCTTGTTAATGCACCTGGAAAAAACAGAACAAAATGGCCCACATCTTTGGGCCCTTGTGTTGTGCCGGTTTTTTGAAACCCCCAGATAATCATCAAGTCTGAAATCGGTGCTGAGGCAAAAAGGTGGTTTATTCAGGTTAGCCTAGGTCTCCCAGCCACCTCCCCCAGCCCAGCATAGCTGGGCGGGGGAGGGGCAGCCGCAGCAGAGGCTGCAAGGATCCACAAGGAGGACCAAAGAAACGCGAGCCAGAAGAGCCAAGGGAAACCCCAGAGCCCAAGCCCCCCAGTTCTTTTACATCTTAGGCTATTAATTATACAGTCATGACTTAGCAGGCTTCTATTGGTGGGTTTAAAACAAGCAACTTTTAAAAAGTACAAATCGATGAGCTATTGGGCTGTGAATCTTATCAAACACCAGGTACCTCCTTCCTGAGGAGTGGTCTGCCTACGTGACCTGCCAGGTGTCCTGCCGGGTGTCACGTAGACTATCAGGCGTGAGGTTCACACAGCCCCCAGCCAAGCCATTAAGGCAGAATCACAAAAGGCAGAAAACGCCTAGGTTCTTCACTTGCACCTGCTGAGGAGACCTACACGAGGCTTCTGGCTCTTGGTTTTAGCCCGGCCCAGCCCAGGGACATGGGGTAGCAGACAGAAGATTTCTTTCTCTGTAATTCTACCTTTCAGATAAAATAAAATAAATCTTTTTGAAGGGTTTGTTGGCAATATCTGTGTCTTTCCAGATATTCCTGCCATAATTAATAGGGAACAAAATCAGAGAGAGTTCAGAGGAAATTAGGGAGAGGATGGACTCTGGTGCTTCTTATGCAAACTCGATCGTTTAAGGGACCTTACTGAGTCAGAAACATAACCCTAGTTCGTGCATAAAATCACCTCTGGTTACTGAAAATTATTCTACACTCAATGAGGCTAACCTTTCTAGGTAACACTGCCCGAGGGGTGGATGCATTTTGTAAGATGCTTGGTACATAGTTCAGGTGCCCACCCCACATCACAATGGCTGGGTCTAAGTCCCACGTCCAGCCACAGCCATCCTCCAATGAAAGGCTGAGAGCACCTCCAACTAAAGAGAAGGAGCAGGTGCAGAGGGGAGCGTATATGAACCACAGCTACTCTCCCCGAAGGAGACAGAGGGTGTTTATCACAAGGACATCACAAGGAAATGCTGATTCCGTGGTACCCACAGGCCTGGGTACCAGCAACCCATTCAGAAAAAGAAAACTCCTTACCTTTTGGAAGTGCAGCTAGAAGCTTAGCATCGATCCCTCCTCGCTTGTGCTTCGGGAGCTGTTCTTTATCTTCAGGGTAGCACTCCTTCTGAAAGCTAAAAGTCCTTCCGTGAATGAAGTGCTAAGACATCCACTGGAATTCAGACACAGGCTAGGGTGTGGACAAGTGCAGGACGCAAAGGTGCTGCAGCTGTTCCCACCTGTGCGCTGAAGAGCACAAGCTAAACAGGTGCGGGTGATGCGACAGGTGGAACTGATGCTGAGATGTAGCAAGTGGAGCCTCCACTTGCAAGGCTGGCAATCCCCCGTGGGTGAATGAAAGGCTTCTGTCTCTCCTCTCCTCCTCTTTGTAACTCTGCCTTTCTAATATGCAAATCAATAACACTTCAAAATAAATAGGCGAGTGTCGATCTCAAGTGGAAGCTTTTTTTTGTGGGAAATGAGTTGGAAACTTCGCTCATAGGAGCTGATTATGATTATGTGTGTGTGTGTGAGTGTGTGTGTGTGTGTGTGTGTGTGTGTGTGTGTGTGTGTGTGTGTGTGTGCTGAGCCAACAACCACATCTGCATTACCAGGTGATGGAAACATTGTTGCCACAGGAATTTTAAGCCTTTCACTGACGGCATCTTCTAGAGCCTGGAAAAGCCGTGTGAGGCGTGGATGGATCGTTCAGCCTCTCTATTCTCATTTCTTCCTTACAGAGTCAGCATCTGCTCTCCGGCGACAAGATGACACCAGTGAGGCAGGTACCTCCTCCAAGCAAGCAGGAGCTCAGCCGAAAAGGCCTGACAGCTCAGCCAGATGTGTAGAATGAAAGGAGGAGCAGAAATGGCTCTAAGTGGAGTGCTTTCCCCATATGCTAAGCATATAACAGGAGCAGTATTTTCTTGGTAAGGTTTTATTTATGTGAGAGTCAGAGTGAGCCCACACTCCTCAGAGCTGGGTGGTCGGGAATCCAATTCAAGTCTTCCATGTGCGTGGCAAGGACTCAGTTACTTGAGTCCTCACTGCTGCCTCTCGGGGTCTGCATTAGCAGGGAGCTGGAATCGGAAGCTGGAGCGGGCATCCCGTCCCACATTCTCCCAACACAGGCATCACAACCACTATGCAGCTAACCTGACCACATCTTAACTGTTGCTGTTAAGATCCCGTGAGATGCACACAGGCTCAGTGTGCTGCTAAGCTGCTTCGCCAGCGCCCACACTGGCCTGGCCCCTGCAGCGCATGTCTGCGCGGTGTGAGTTCTCAGCGTACAGCAGCTGGGAGAAGAGCCCTCCTTGGACCAGGCCCACCTTCAGTTCACCATGAGGGAACGGCTGCCTGGTCTGTCCAAGGATGGGATTCAACTTGACGGCTTGCTCTGACAGCAGGCATGAATGTGCCAAGGTGGCCGTCCCCATTCCATAGCCCCCTTGCAAAAAAAAAAAAAAATGCTGGCACAGGTGATGGGGGATGGTCCCAGGGACACCGTTGCCTATGAGGGACACAAACTAATATTCCACACCTAATAAGGACCAAAGTGACACTCGCTTCAGCTTCTGTGTCGAGAGAGGTTTAAACGCCCCCCCCCCCCGCCCCCCAGCCGTCTCTTTCCTTGCTTTTCTGTTCCTTTGCAGCCCCCTTCTCACGTCTGTCTTCCGCTGCACAGGAGAGAAAGGCCTGTGAAAGGTGTCTTTGAATTAAGGCCATCTATATTCTTTTCTATACCCTCATGGATGATTGGCGAATTTAACGCTAAGCACCCCACCCCACTGCCACTGTGCGGAGCTTGGGTAGTGGTTCTTGTCTGTGGATCCGCCCTGTGGAGCGTACAGAGGGGGGACATGGCTGAAGATTCCATCTAAGCAGGCACACGGATGCTCAACCCCCAACATGGACACTCAACTTGAACGACGGCTGTGCATTTCCCAACAAGGTTACGCCAGGGAACCTTGTTGGAGCTGAGTGAACCTTGAAAACTTCCCGATTGCGTGCGCATGACTGGAGCTGTCTCTCCATCAACGCAGAAAAGCCCTGCCCTCAGCAGCTTCCTACAAAGTCTTGAGAGAATGGGCTTTTGCAAACTACGCTCCACTTGGACCTAGGACACCAGGAAGCTTGCGGAGGCCTCCAACCTGACTTGCAAGGCGGTGATTTTTTTTTTTTTTCATTGCTGCCTGGCATTGTATTTCAAGAAAACAATCAGCCGCAAATTGCACTCTGCTTAGGCCGGGGGGATCTCACCTTAACGGGAGATTTAAATGCAAATTTAAGCGTGGGGGTGGGGGCAGCCAGGGCTGGTCTGGATGAAGCTAGAAGTGGGAACTCTATCCCTAGACAGCAAACATCTTCGTATTTGTCTTTTCCTCTTTTTCATCAACAAGTCCAGTGAAGGTGGTATTCCACCGCTATTAAGGTGAAGTGGGTTAAGTTACTGCTTGTGATGCCAGCATCCAGTATGAGTGCTGGTTTGAGTCTCTGCTGTTCTGCTTCTGATCCAGTTCCCTGCCAATGCCCCTGGGAAGACAGTGGAGGATGGCACAGTGGCGTAAGGCCCTGGAGCTACGTGGGAGATCCAGTGGCGTTCCAGGCTCCTGGCTTCAGTCTAGCCCAGACCTGGCAGTCACTGCACACATTCTGGGGAGTGAACCAGTGGATGAAAGACCTCTCGCTCCAGTTGTCAATCTCCGTCACTCTGTCTCTCAGATCAATGAAGAGGCGTGCGCGCACACACAGACACACACACACACACACACTCAGGGGGTGGAAAGATTAGCTGGTGTTGAGCACTTTGCTGTGCAAGTTCATTCCAGGCTCTGTGCGCACGCATGCACCTGCCTTTCTGAAACAAGCCACCAGCACCAGCGCCTGTGCAAGTCGCCCTTCTGTGGAAGCACTGGGAAGCCCCCTCTGCTAGGATAGCCCCTGCCCCCTGCCCCCTCCCCCCCAGCTGGCTTCCCGCAGGCATTCTCGGGCTCTGCCTCCACTCCTGATCTGGGCTGCAGCTGTGTGCTCACCGCCCTTGGGAAGATGGGCCCATGACCTCGAGCCCATCTCCACCAGCCCCTGAGCACAACGATACTCCTCTGTTTGCCTCTTTCCCGATTTCCCGCTCCGTTCATATATTCCAGATGAACTGAAATGTTTTCGTTTAAACGCTCCTTTATATCAAAGCACTACTTTTTATCACTTGCTTTAAAAACCAATCAACGGGAACTGACACTGTGGTGTAGCGCTGGCATGCTGTATAGGTGCCAGCTCGTGTTCTGGAAGCTCCACTTCCCCTCCAGCTCTCTGCTAGTGCGCCTGGGAAGGCAGCAGACACTCCTGGCTTCTGGTTTCGGACTGACAGTTCCAGCTGTTGTAGTCACGTCGGGGAGTGAACCAGATAAAAGGTCTCTCTGTGTGTCTCCCTTTCTCTCTGTGTAGCTCCGACTTTCAAATAAACAAGTCTTTTATGAAAACCCAATGACTAGTGCAAGATAGGCAAATGTATGGGAAGGTTTCTCTGGAAGGAGGTTGTGTACCTCCTGCTTCATGTATGTTGGTGTGACAGCCAGGAAAATAAATTGCTACAAATACTGACAAAAACTAGAAAGGCATGCATTGCATAGCAACTCTTATAAGCCCCTTTTTCCCTCCCTCCTTCCCTCCCTCCCTCCCTCCATCCATCTTTGGAATAGAATATAATCAGGAAAACACCTCTTACACGAAAATGCTAAGAAATCTCAATACATTCACACAATAAGTTTTTACATTAACAAGCTTCAAGATAAACTATTTAGAAAGTTATTTAAAACACAGAGAGAGAATCTTCCATTTTCTGGTTCACTCCCCAAATGCCCATGACATTGTGAGTCAGGTGGAAGTCAGGAGTGGAAACTCATTCCCGGCTCTCCCACATGGGTGCAGGCACCAGAACCGACTGAGCCATTAGCTCTGTCTCCCAGAGTATGCATTCATTCACAGGGATGGGTTGTAGGTGGATGCAAATGGCATCTTAAGCAATAACCAGGAATCCACACGGCTGCCTTGAGCTTGCTTCTGCTCCTGCTCCGCTCCCAGGCCAAGCCTGTTGATCCTTAGGAGGCAGAGAGGCGGGAGATGGGGTGGGGAGGCTGGTGCTGCCTCAAGAATGTGGCCAAGGCTGTAAAGGGGCTGCTCGTGAAAGCCAGGCAAAATGTCCCATCATCCCCATTATCGTCCCTGAACTTTCCTGCCCCAAGGATGCTGACCAGCACAGCGGCAACACTGGACCGGGCACACGACTTCCTGGAAAGGAATTCTGGGCCACTGAGAAAGTTACTCTATTGGCTAGTCCCACGGCTGACCAAATACAGGTGGCCCAAAGTCTTGCCAGGGTCCTGGAGCCAGCAGGATGCCAGCACACAGCAGGTGCGCTGCCTGCAGGGTTGGCCACACCTTGCTCCTATACCACCTGCTCCTCACAACTGGTACTTGCCACCTCCACCTTCCTTTCTCTGCTCTGGTAGTGTGAGGTGCCATCAGCCCTGCTTCCAGGGCCAGCTCTTTTCCCAAGGTGTCCCCTTAACCTACTTAAATGTCTCTTAGCAGCAAGAGGGGACAGCGGGGACAGCAGGGGGTGGGGGGTCTTTAGAAGGGAGTACGGGATACTTTCCTGGTACCTTCATCTGGGTTACCGAGTGGGGTGAGCCATGGGGACTTTAAAAAGGAGGGTTAAGTGCTAACTTTATTTTGGTGCAAAAGTAGTTGACATTTATGCACACTTTTTTATGTGGTATGGATTTCCAAGTACTTTTGTGAAAAATTCTCATATTAGTATTTTTTTCTCTTTCATTGTGTTCGAAGGGAGAGAGAGGAAAATGGAGGGAGGGAGGGAAGTAGGGAGAGGGGGAGAGAGAGCTTCTACCTCTTGGTTCACCCCCTGCTTTATGCGAATGCTCACGGAATGCCAGCTCTTCCCGGTGAATGCTTTAGGAAGAGGAGCCCCGGAGTGGAAGGAGGGTAGGTCTGGGCATGAGTCCACCTTGCAATCCACGGCTAGCAACTCTTGGGGTCTCCACTTGAAGCATTAAAATACATGGTGACAGGGGCCTCCTAGGCTGCGCTGGCTGGTCCAGCTGCTCACTGTCAG